ACCTAGATTGGGAGCTTTTTAGGGTTAGAGCTTTATCATTAACTCTTTTGTTCCCTAAGTAATCGCTAACAGTCATTCCTTAGGGAAGATTTGGTGAATGAATGGTGAATGAACAGACAAATGAATGGTTGACACATGTGAGGAAGATAGCCAATAAAGAGAACATTGTGAAAACAAAACAAAACTAGAATTTCTTTTAAAAATGGGTTTAGGGAAAGGCATTTTGGATGGTACAGTTAATGCTGGATTGTATGACTTGATTAATAAAAAGGATGTTTTAAGAGCTCCAGAAACAGCGACAAGTAGAATGGAGCTCTCAATGATGGGCCTATTTTCCAAGTAACACTAAGTGCCCAAAGTTAATTATCCCCATTTTTTTCCTACCAAGAGCCACAAAATATATTTATAAACACACAAATCCACTCACATATTTATATGCACACACGTATCCCTTCTAATTCTCTCCTTATATCCTAAACGATTATCTCTTGGTGGTACTTGCCCTTATTTTGCTGTGTTTATTCACATCGCCCAGCTACTGCGGCTGTAGTCAGAGCTGTGATTGTGTGCTTCCTTCAGCAGAAAAAATTTTCCATCTCCACATATTCCATTCCCTCCAGACACTTACAGATCTCCCCTGGCAGTCCTTCCCTCCCCATTAGGCAGTGTGGCTCACTGTTGGGGTGCATTTGGGCACAAACCAGGCCTTTTGTTGAGTTACTGTACTCCTACCTTCCTAATTATAGAATTCAAAGCAGAATGAGTGAATTAATAACGTGTATTTATTACCTGCGGGGTCTGGGGAAACGTAATGCCCTGGCGCACTTACAGTAGCACATAAGCTTTCCCGAGTCTCCCCTCATCCTCCGTTTCTGCTCTCTGACTTCACAGCAGCAAGAATGGAAGGTGCAGTTTACTCACCAGTGAGTAAATCATGTGAATGGATGTTTTAAAGCACATGCCCAATACACAGTTCACTGAAAGAACTATCCTTTCAAAAGCTCTCTGGGAACACATGCATGGAACTTGAAATTGTACTAAGTACTGTGTTTCCTGAGGTATCCTCATTGAGGCAGGGGTATATGGGCCTAGACGGCCCTGAAATGTATGTATGCTGTTGCCTTTACTTTCTCCAATCGAAGAATTCTGAAGTGTTTGATTCTCCAGTCGTTCAAGCATGCAGACACATACTTGGAATATTAGTAGAGAGATAGAACTCTGGATTGCCCAAAGACTATAGAAATAATTTCTCTTTGCCCGATAATGAGAAGGACTCTGATTCATTCTGTTTGAAGCAGTCTTTGTCCCAGTTGCCTCTGGACCCCTGTGATTACCTGTATTTTCAGATCCATACAGGTTGACATAGACCATACATAGAGTCAAAGTCATCTGAATCAGGACTTGGTGGTTGGGGAAGTTGGGGACTTAATTCACACTTTTTATATCAGCTACCCATTTGATTAAGATTTGGAGGGGAAAGATCCATCTCTCAGGAAACCTAATGGTCAGGGTAGGATAAGGATAGAAATGAACTCAGGTGAAATGTGAATGCTTCCATTGGTTTGGCAGATTTCGCTAAGCTCTTTTTTGGGAAGAAAATGCTAAGATGAAAGAAATATGGGAAGTTATTACAAGAATGAGTAAGAAGTGTAATAGTGAATTTAATAATGAACTATTAATAATCTAGGCTGAAAATATAATTTTTACAAAGGTGAGGGGAAATTCTGTCACATGGTAACTCAGGTGCTTTGTAACTAGATGACTAGAAAAATCACTTTCCCGCCCCCCCCTGAATTATACTCTGTAGGAATCCCAATCAGATCAGAGTACTAAGCTGGATACATTGGTTCTAACCTATTTCTTTCCTGTCTTCCTCTAGTAAACAATGAAGGCTGATATAATTCCAATTCATTGGATATTTTAAAAAGCAAGGTGAAGGAGACCAAAATGTTTTCCTATTGGGCCATTTTTAGGCTCTGAGTTTATCCTGAATCTTGGCCCATGTTATACTTTATTTTATTTCTTTTTTAAAAAAGTTTTATTGTTATGTTAATCACCATACATTACATCATTAGTTTTTGATGTAGTGTTCCATGATTCATTGTTTGTGCATAACACCCAATGCTCCATGCAGAACGTGCCCTCTTTAATACCCAACACCAGGCTAACCCATGCTCCCACCCTCCCCTCCCCTCTAGAACCCTCTGTTTTTCAGAGTCCATTATCTCTCGTGGTTCATCTCCTCCTCCGATTCCCCCCCTTCATTCTGCCCCTCCTGCTTTCTTCTTCTTCTTTTTTTTTTTTCTTAACATACATTGCATTATTTGTTTCAGAGGTACAGACCTGTGATTCAACAGTCTTGCACAATTCACAGCGCTCACCATAGCACATACCCTCCCCAATGTCTATCATCCAGCCACCCCATCCTTCCTACGCCCCACCACTCCAGCAACCCTCAGTTTGTTTCCTGAAATTAAGAATTCCTATCAGTGAGGTCATATGATACATGTCTTTCTCTGATTGACTTATTTCGCTCAGCATGACACCCTCCAGTTCCATCCATGTCATTGCAAATGACAAGATCTCATTCCTTTTGATGGCTGAATAATATTCTATTGTGTGTGTATATATATATATATATATACCACATCTTCTTTATCCATTCATCTGTTGGTGGACATCTTCGCTCTTTCCACAGTTTGGCTATTGTGGACATTGCTGCTATAAACATTGGGGTGCACATACCCCTTCGGATCCCTGTATTTGTATCTTTGGGGTAAATACCCAGCAGTGCAATTGCTGGATCATATGGTAGCTCTATTTTCAACTTTTTGAGGAACCTCCATACTGTTTTCCAGAGTGGTTGCACCAGCCTGCATTCCCACCAACAGTGTAGGAGGGTCCCCCTTTCTCCGCATCCCTGCCAACATCTGTCGTTTCCTGACTTGTTAATTTTAGCCATTCTGACTGGTGTGAGGTGGTATCTCATTGAGGTTTTGATTTGGATTTCCCTGATGCCGAGCGATGTTGAGCCCTTTCTCATGTGTCTGTTGGCCATTTGGATGTCTTCTTTGGAAAAATGTCTGTTCATGTCTTCTGCCCATTTCTTGATTGGATTATTTGTTCTTTGGTTGTTCAGTTTGATAAGTTCTTTATAGATTTTGGATACTAGCCCTTTATCTGATATGTCATTTGCAAATATCTTCCCTCATTCTGTTGGTTGTCTTTTGGTTTTATTGACTGTTTCTTTTGCTGTGCAAAAGCTTTTTATCTTGATGAAGACCCAATAGTTCATTTTTGCCCTTGCTTCCCTTGCTTTTGGTGATGTTTCTAGGAAGAAGTTGCTGCAGCTGAGGTCGAAGAGGTTGCTGCCTGTGTTCTCCTTTAGAATTTTGATGGACTCCTGTCTCACATTGAGGTCTTTCATCCATTTTGAGTCTATTTTTGTGTGTGGTGTAAGGAAATGGTCCAGTTTCATTCCTTTGCATGTGGCTGTCCAATTTTCCCAACAGCATTTGTTGAAGAGACTCTTTTTTCCATGGGACATTCTTTCCTGCTTTGTCGAAGATTAGTTGACCATAGAGTTGAGGGTCCATTTCTGGGCTCTCTATTCTGTTCCATTGATCTATGTGTCTGTTTTTGTGCCAGTGCCATACTGTCTTGATGATGACAGCTTTGTAACAGAGCTAGAAGTCCAGAATTGTGATGCTGCCAGCTTTGCTTTTCTTTTTCAACATTCCTCTCACTATTCGGGGTCTTTTCTGGTTCCATACAAATTTTAGGATTATTTGTTTGAAAAAAGTGGATGGTATTTTGATGGGGATTGCACTGAATGTGTAGATTGCTCTAGGTAGCATTGACATCTTCACAATATTTGTTCTTCCAATCCATGAGCATGGAACATTTTTCCATTTCTTTGTGTCTTCCTCAATTTCTTTCATGAGTATTAGTTTTCTGAGTACAGATCCTTTGCCTCTTTGGTTAGATTTATTCCTATATATCTTAGGGTTTTGGGTGCAATTGTAAATGGGATTGACTCCTTAATTTCTCTTTCTTCTGTCTTGTTGGTGTACAGGAATACCACTGATTTCTGTGCATTGATTTTCTATCCTGCCACTTTACTGAATTCCTGTATGAGTTCTAGCAGTTTTGGGGTGGAGTCTTTTGGGTTTTCCACATAAAGTATCCTATCATCTGCAAACAGTGAGAGTTTGACTTCTGCTTTGCCGATTTGGATGCCTTTGATTTCATTTTGTTGTCTGATTGCTGTGGCTAGGATTTCTAATACTATGTTGAATAGCAGAGGTAATAGTGGACATCCCTGCCTTATTTTTTTTCTTTTAAATTTGGTGTCCAGATGTCTGTCATTTGATTCAAGACTACGAAGCCTATTATGTGTATTTAAACTTTAAACACATTTTATAACAAAATTAGTAAATGCTTTCTCTTGAATATTAGTTGTTTCCTGCAGTTAGTGTAAGAAATAGTTAAATGATATACATTTAAACAAAACTCCTACTTTTTTTTTTTAAGATTTTATTTATTTGACAGAGAGAGATACAGCGAGAGAGGGAACACTAGCAGGGGGAGGGGAAGAGCGAGAAGCAGGCCTCCTGCCGAGCAGGGAGCCCAATGCGGGGCTCCATCCCAGGACCCTGGGATCATGACCTGAACCGAAGGCAGATGCTTAACGACTGAGCCACCCAGGCGCCCAAAACTCCTACTCTAGAAAAATGTATTAAAGACCAGACCAAGAGAAATTCACATCATGTTCACAAAAGACTCAGACTTCCTTCTCCATAATTATTTTCAATTTCATTTTTTAGCCTCCAAAATAAAATGAAGGCCAAGATTTTAGAATTCTCAAGAGGTATTTTCTTAAGGTTCTAGTGCCTGTTATCACTACGCTGCATTTAACAGTGTGAAATAAACTGTAAATGAATTATGCATATGTTCCAGATTTGTCATCTGTTTTTATCAATAATTGAAATTTTTTTCAGCCATTGATCTTATCAATAACTTGCTGCAAGTAAAAATGAGAAAGCGCTATAGCGTGGATAAGACCTTGAGTCACCCTTGGCTACAGGTAAAACATCAATCACTGGATATTTTCCCAATCAGATGGACTTCTAAATATTTACCAGATTCTGGTATTATATGTAAAAATCTTTTGTTATCGTCTTAAAGTTGTTATTCTTTTATCAATTTGTTTGCCAAAATGCACACAACATCTTAGGATTTAATAACAATTTGGTGTTTCTAGATCTCTCTGTCTCTACCAAGAATATTTGACAGGGGAGAAATATACCACAATACACACTCATGTACGTGTGCTTACACATGCACCAAAAATAAAAACAGAAGAACAAAAAAAATTTAAGGGTCATTATAAAACTCCAAGGACCAGATTTCAAGAGCATCTATATGTGTAATCCTGATAAATGTCCAAGCAGATGCCCATCTGGTCATGCACTGTACTCATTTGGAGGCTGCATTTTTAAATCCTGGGCTAATATTCATGAAACAAATGCATAACAAATATAAAGTATATGCATGTGTTTGTTTCCTCTTCTATATTTATTGTCACATTAAACTTAAACATTAGAAAAATGATACTCTGCAATACTGAAGGATTATTCGTAGGCATTAAATTTCAGAGGAATACCAGTATTCCTAGTTGGTTGACTGCAAGCATTAATTGCCCACTCTTTGATGCATGATACCATATAAACAGTCTGTCTTTGCAGAGTTTAGGTAAATAGGAAGGCTTTGGTCCTGATGTTGTCGCCTGCAGGTGCGTGATGAGAGACAAAGCACAGATAGAGTGGAAGGGAAAAGGGTAACTCATCGGTTGTGGGAACTAACAAGAAATGAAACCGTATTTTAATGAGTTGTAATCGTCTCTATGGTAATATTTTGGAATTCCTTCCTCAGGATTATCAGACCTGGTTAGATTTGCGAGAGCTAGAGTGCAAAATCGGGGAACGCTACATCACCCATGAAAGCGACGACCTGCGGTGGGAGCAGTATGCAGGCGAGCAGGGGCTGCAGTACCCTGCTCACCTGATCAATCCAAGTGCTAGCCACAGCGACAGTCCTGAAACAGAAGAAACAGAGATGAAAGCCCTCAGTGAGCGTGTCAGCATCCTCTGAGTTCCATCCCCTATAATCTGTCAAAACACTGTGGAATTAATAAATACATACGGTCAGGTTTAACATTTGCCTTGCAGAACTGCCATTATTTTCTGTCAGATGAGAACAAAGCTGTTAAACTGTTAGCACTGTTGATGTATCTGAGTTGCCAAGACAAATCAACAGAAGCATTTGTATTTTGTGTGACCAACTGTGTTGTATTAACAAAAGTTCCCTGAAACACTAAACTTGTTATTGTGAATGATTCATGTTATATTTAATGCATTAAACCTGTCTCCGCTGTGCCTTTGCAAATCAGTGTTTTTCTTACTGGAGCCTCAATTTGGTAAGAGTCTATGGAACCTGTCCATGAAATAGTTCTGTTCTGTGTGTCCCATTGGCGTTGTCATTATAAGGAAACTCTTGAAGAGTAGATTATTACTAGTTCTATGAACAACTCCAAAACTCATGTGGAAAAAAAAAAAGTGAATGATGGAAGATGGGAGATAGAAATACAATCCTAGACACAAGTGCATGGAAGAGTTTACTGTATAGTTTCAAATCCTTTGCCTGCCTGGCGTGCCTCAGTATGTTTAAACTCAAAGAAGTGGACCTAGTTGTACCTACTACTCATAAGCCTAAATGCCTTAGAAATGTAAACTGCCATCTGTAACAGATATTTCCCCCTTTCTTACAATACCCTCTGTACTATGGAAAATCAGCAGCTAAGCAACCTTTTGCCTTTGTGTATTTTTCAATAATAACAAATAAATATTCTTGTCAAAGAATGTGTCCCCTTGACCGAATCGTTTCATTTGCTTTCAGGCCATTTAGGAGCAGAGGTATCTGCTCAAAAAGCAGAGAAAGTCTCATGGTTTTGAATTTAGCTTTAACTGCTATGAAGCCTAAAAATGTGTTTCAAGGTGTAATGAAGTATTTCTGTCTTGCGTGTCATCTAGTTTCCAGTAGAAAAAAGAGCTCTCAAAGAGAAAAACAACCAAACAGGAGACTTGGAGGCATAAGGAAGAATATTACAAATGGCAGTCTCGATGTAGCATCCTGATTTAGTCAGTATAAAACCAGGATTTATTACAATAATGGCTCTAATTTCTTTCTATATTATCTAAACAAAAAGGTTCTAAGGTGAACTACAAAAACACATAAAGACTAGAGAATAATTCCTAAAGAGAAAGCCACCTGAGGTAAAGTTCTATAGCCTGGGAAAGAGAAAACTAATATTGGACTTAACAGACTTTGGGGTAAGGAGTGGGTAATGTAGGCAGTCTTTCTTTGTAGCAAGACGACAAAGCATTAGCATGTATTACTGTTACTTTGTAACAGAAATGCTATAAATATTTGGAAGAATTTTATAAGTGTTCTGAGACACTTGAATGTATTATGTAAACGTGTTAAGACTACACAGTATTTACAGATGGGGGTAAAATAGTGGTAAGTCCAGTCCAGTGGTTAGTCACTATTTTGTATTATTGCCTATTCCTTATTCTGTTCTGTTATTATTTATCCCTTTATGTCTCAGAACACCAATTGAAACTTTCAAGCAGAAGAATAAGCAATATCACAGAGTTCACTCTGCCAGCAAGACAAAGTCTGGGTAGAAGCCAGGATAAGGAGTGAGCCAAAAGACCAGCTAAACTATTGTAATAACCCTTCTGGGATGATGAGGACCTGACATAAAACAGTAGTAAATAGAATTTAAATGTGGAATTTAAAAAAATCCAGAATGAATCCTAGGTTTTGGCTTGGATGATTGATGGAACTATTAATCAAAAGGAGTTACAGCTTTAGAAAGGGTGAGTTCATGTTTGAACATGGTGAATATAAAGTTCTATAGGACACCAAGTTTGGGACATCCTGAAGGCATTTATATATGTGCCTGGAGCTTGGGGAGAATTCTGGAGTTGAAGATACAGATTTGTAAGTCAAAATCCCACCATATGTTGATCAGAATGACTTGGATCCTTGGATAGCATGAGATGGAAGGGACCTTGGGACACAAACCTGAGAAATACCAATACAGAAGGTTCAGTCAGAATGAAAGGAAAATTGAAAAGGAACACGTAAAGGTGGAATTAAATGAAGCAATATTACAGAAGCCAAAGGAAGAAGTTCAAAAATGAAGTAGACCACAGTAGAAAATACAATGGAGAGATAATGATTTCAGCCTTTGGGGGGCCAGCCTTACCAACCATTCCAGCATTTTGTAATGAATATGACTACAGCTACATTCAGAATAGCCATGTCAAAAGGACATCTGTGTGCTATTGACACCATCTATTGTGCCTTGTCATCAAGCACAGGAAAAAGAAAAAACGGCTCTGTGTTTTCAGAGAAGGGGGCCACTGAAAGTCATGCCACTTTTCTTCCACCCAAAATATCAGGGATGCTACAAAGAATCCAATTTTATTGAATGAGCACCGACTTTCTATGCTAAATTATCATCAGTAAATTTGTCCAGACTTCACATCAGTGGTATCTCATAGTATCAAATGATATGGGCATATCCATAGTCTATTTAATTCAAAAGACAACCCAGCATTTTTGATACAGAAGTATCTTCTGATTCTAACAAAAATAAGAGAAATGACAAAAGCATGTTTTAGGGAGGCTGTGTCCTCTGTCATTGTCACAGAAGCAATATTCCTTACGTAATGACATTATCAGCCCAAGATGCCATAAAAATTGCTGGTCTCTACGTGTCCTGAACCATCAGCACAAACAGCCACCATTCTTACATTTGTCCTGAGCAAGAGGACAGTGCTGAGAAAAATATTTTGATCACGGATGCTTTTGATACGTCCATTTGTCCCTAAGGAAGAGATCATCTTTGCGTTTAGTGAATACTCACTCTGATGGAGACATTTTGAGAAATATGTAATGAACCTTTGTACTGAATGTGTAAAATAAGTACAGTGGTGAAAATAAGCCATCTGTCTCCTCTGCATCCATTACCCAGTGTTAAAGCTTGACTACTCCTGTGAAGTGATTCTGTTTGCAGACCATTTGTTTGGACTTGGTTTAAGAAACCAAGTACTGGTTCATCTGAAGATCCACCAAGGCCCATGGAGAAGGGCAACTGCTTTCAGTGGCCAAAAGGGAACAAGTTCCTTCATCTCAGCCTTTACACATTGCTTGCAAGACGTTTCTGCCCCCCCACTCCCTTGCCTTTACTCCTATTCATCCTTTAAGCCTGCATTTGACCTATGTCTCACATCATTTCTGCTCCCCTGCTTCTCTTTAACTGCTTTCTTTTTTGTTAGATATTTTTAGTATCCACCAACAAATTACCCCTTGACTTAAAACAGGCTCAGCTTCCCACTTTCAACAAAACAATATAAACAAATCAACTTGAGCCTTGCTTCTCCTTTTAGCAAATATTTTTGCAAAATAATTTGTCTGTTCTTTCTCTGGTAAATTTCTCACTTTTTTTTCTTCCTTTGGCTTCTGTGTTTATATCCCATGGCATAAAATTTTCATTTTTATTATTGATAATCCTCTTCTTACGAAAGTCATCAATGGCCTCTAACTCAAAAAGGATGGATTTTTCTCAACATAGGTTAAAGGTTAGAAACCCAAATGTAGAGACAGACTAACATTGGCTTGAATTCTAGGTGACCATGAAAGCGCTACAATCACTCATACATCTTTGGGAGTGTTGGGAGAGACTAAATAAAATAATACAAACGTACAATTCAGTGCATACTTGGCTTGAGATGTCGATAAAGCCATCAATAGTGGTTGACTGTTGTTTAGTCACTCAGCAATGACTCTTGACCACTTCCTGTGTGCTGGGAATATAGCAGCTGAGAGGTAGATGGGGTCACTGTCCATATTGCCTATGACCTGTTTTTCCCTGAGGTCCTACCTCCATTTATTTTGATGGCTACTGAAAGGGGTGTGAACTTTGAAGCTTAATGGCCATAGATCCAATCCCAACCCCAGGTCTTGTTAGTGAACTTAGACAAACTACTTTAAAGTCTCTGAGTCTCCTCATGAGTAGAGTGGCAACAATGCCTATTTTAAAGTGCAGTTGGGATAACTAAGGTAAGTATGTAAATTTCTTAGGCAAATTGCTGGCATGTATTGCAGGTCAAGAAATGTTAATTTCCTCCTCTCCCTGACCTCTGTTTGCATTTACCAAGGTTTTCCCTATTTTCTTTTTCGATATTTTCTCTTCATATGATTTATTTCCAAATCCATATTGGCTACCGTAAGCTCTCAGCAATCCAGTTTCCTCTCTCCATGAATTTATAGGCTCTATCTATCTAAAGATCCTAAAATCAGCATTATCATTTTCACCTTTAAATCAGCTGCATCATAGACGTCTTCTAGGTGGAACTTTTTCTTCAGGCTCTCCTCCCTCCCATCTACTCTCCACACCACTGCCAGATTTATTTTCACGAAATTTGCTTTTATCCTTTTACTCATATGTTCTAAAATCCTCAAGGACTCTGCTCCCAGTTATCTACAAGATACATTCAGATTCCTTAAAGTTACAAAAGCTGTGGGGTCCAAAAATTAATAAAAGTCCTATTCAATAAGAATTCTATGTATCCCACAGATTTATGGAACACAGATAGAATTCAGGACTTAGGAATTAGTTTCACCTCTTTGAAGTTCATCTCTTATTTCTATAACAAAACAGGAAGCTAGACAATATGACTTCTAAATTATCTCCTAATTCAAAGATTTTATGAAAGCATGGTTTAATCTGAATGTCAACAAAGTGCCAATGATGCACACTTTTTGTCAACTCTCTTTATGTTCTAGTTCTCTGGGGCAAATGCTCTTTTGAACAAGGGAATGTCACATCCTTTCCTGACCTCCTTTTGTCAAAGATTGTGTCCAGGAACTTTTGACAATAGATGGTTTCTTTAAGTGAATCTGGGCTACCAGATCTGCTGAAAAGTGTGAACAAAAGTGTGAACATTTGCTGCAGAACTTCTTTCTGTATCTTAAGTGAAATGGTAAGACTTTGAATTAAGATTTGTTTTTTTCTGGGAAATGGAAGAGTCTTCATGTCTTCTGTTTTGTTTTGCTTTGTTTTGTTTTAAATATGCCCTAGAGTAAGTCGGAGGGGGAGAGGAACCATGAGAGACGATGGACTCTGAAAAACAAACTGAGGTTTCTAGAGGGGAGGGGGGTGGGGGGATGGGTTAGCCTGGTGATGGGTATTAAAGAGGGCATGTTCTGCGTGGAGCACTGGGTGTTATGCACAAACAATGAATCATGGAACACTACATCAAAAACTAATGATTTAATGTATGGTGATTAACATAACAATAAAAAATAAAAATAAATTTAAAAAAGTGAAAAAAGTGAAAAAAAATATGCCCTAAAACCCTTGGATCTTCTCCTTTTGAAATATTTTAGTGTAGCTTAGTCTGAGAACAAAGGTTGGATTTTACTTGAGCTTTGGGCACTTGACTGATCTCAATTGCCAAGGAGATTTTTTTCTCTCCTCATAATTTTGTCTCCACATTTAAAGGCAGGTAGCTCTCTTATATTGGTTGGCTACTGGATTCCACTAGATTCCACAGAGACAAGGATAATTAGGGACAAATACCTGAATGTGACCCATATTAGATCTCATGTAAAATCTCCAGCTGGATTCTATGCAGGAGATTTCACCCCTTAGATTGAGGGAGAGGAGTAAGAGGAATCGCTTGAGTAAAGATATGGAAGTCAGAAGAACCTGACATGAATAGAAGAAAATCTCCTGATGAAGCAAAGGGTTAATATGAAGGTAGACCCCGGGAGTAACATT